GGGGTGGGGAACCGATGTCCCCGACGAGGGGTAAGATTTCTCCGACGAAAGCAAAGTGGGCGTGGTCAAATTCGATTTCAAGTTTCGGAAGTGGTACTTTTGAAATGAGAAAATGTTGACGATTTATGCTTTTTCTCCTCGACGAGGGGCCCTGGCCCCCACCCCCGGCTGGCGCCACCCCTGTGATAAAGGTGCCGTGAGGACCTACCGTATGGTCCAAAGCCCCGGTCGGGCTTGGTAGGCCTACCTGGTCCGATCAGGGAGAGCCTGGTTATGAGGGTGTATTGTTAGGTTAATTGGAGGTGCAAGCCCCAAGGCCAAGGGAGCTCCATTGCCGTGAATGGACCATTTGGGCGCCGTACTCAAATATTAGATAAAAGTTTAGAATTTGCTCATTGTCCGTTGCAGGACCCGCTGCATGATATATACACGTTGAAGTCCACTGTTAAATTTGGTACCGTCTGATACATCATCGTTTCCATCAGTACATAGGATCGGTCTTATTCACTTGAGGCACTCAATGGGAATTTTCTTATATTTTTAGTGAAATGTGTATTTTTTTAAATTGTGTTTATTTTGTAAGTCTAACAAAAATTAAAATATGTAATACAGTCACCTCCCACCTCACTTGAAATAATGGAAGCAAAAAATTACGCTCAAGTAGTTAAAAATCACCTAAAATTACCTTATTTTGCGAGTTAGAGCACCTCACCTAATCATCGATCCCCCACATGACCTTTGCGCCCCTCCCCCACACGTCAGCTCCCCGTGTCAAGAATCCAGATACGCCACTACTTTATTCTTATGAACAAATGAAAAAAAAAACAAACAAACAAATTGCTCAAGGTTAAGAATTTATTGGATAATTAGTATTCAGCCAATATACAGTATAAATCAAGCCTCTTGATAAAAATCATAAACTCAAGGTAGTGGTAGTGTTAAGTACTAGGCCTATTCTATTGGGTCAATAATATGACTGGGTGGAAACAGATCGTTCCGTGACCCACACCTCTCTTTCTCCCCATCAAATTCAAACTGTTTTTATTTCCACACGAAGTTTATTGAATATAAATGTACATCAATAAAAGTACGGTACAGTTTAGTGTGGGGGTGAGTCAGACAGATAAAACATTAATCTTTAGGACCGACCAACCCCTTGCAATAAATACAATAACTTTTAATATAAATGAAAGAAAACACAAATGAAAATGAGAGAAAAAACTGTATATAAGCCTATATACATAATATTATATATCTAAACATTCTCAAACACCCAAGAAGTAGGCCTAATGTAAATATAAATCAAGGCGAGTGAATCAAGGAAGTATTACTTAGAATATTACAAAATATCAAGCTGATTTATCGTTCTATGCATAGTGCCGTTATGTTTAAACATCTAATGGAAGCAACATCATTATTAATACATTCTCTTATAAAATAATTTTCTACTCCAGTAATATTACATTTTTTTTCTAACCTGGTTGGGATCCATACGTCTTTACGACACACAGTAACACATTTTGACGGTAAATGTGTTTTAGTTCCACATTTACAGTGAAATTAAAAGGCGTCTTGAGTAAGGTACGTAGGCCTATCCATTTTACACCAAAAAAATACGCCTCCCTCAATAAACGCCCCTCAAAAGCCATTCTCACCAATAAACGCCCCAGGGCGTTTACTCGAATAAATACGGTAAGTCAAATTTCATCTATACTAAAAATAATAAAGATATATTATGTTTTATATGTTAGAGAAATGTTGTTCGTACTCGCCAATGTTCAGTTTTGAGATGACGAAAAGCCTCTTTTGCGGTTTAAACATGTTATAATAACTCAGACTTCGTCTGATAGTGTTTCGGACTAAAACGACCATGTTCCATTCAGACAAACCCGTGTTAAATAATACATGTTTATTTTGAATGAGGTATTTATCATTTTTGTAAAACAGGAGGTTTAAATGGTTGAAAGAAAAATATGGGGAAACGTATAATTCAAACGAAAATTCAGAGCAATATGTTAATCAATTGACGGCCCCGCCGTCACCCCACACCTTAATACACATTTTAAAGCTTTCACTTAGGTCTATTATTCCTATTGCTTGCTGATTATAATTAATCATATCTTTTCACAAAGGCCTAAAGGCCCCACCTGCTTCATGAAGTTCCGAGGACTCTTTATTCAGGGTGATGCCACATTCTGGAGAGGAATCATGGGTCTCCTCGTGAGCTAGAAAACAAAAATCAAAAGAAAATATTAAATGCAAAACAATTCTTTAATTTTCAGAAAGACACAACACATCCGTTCAAAGAAAAATATTGGGAAAGATGTTGGGGTCTGAGTTAGTCAAAAGGGGTGGTCTTCAATACTTTCCATGAACACAATTTCATGCACGGCAAAAGCCTATCTCAGCATCTTTTACTCAGAATAAAACGTACGGTAATATACCAAACTCGGCTTTCGTAGATTCAATAAAACATCGAATTGCTAGTTCATTTATAAAAATACAATAATGAATCTACTTGTGCCATGGTTTCTCTGATTTATTATTACATATCAGTGGTTATTATAGTATTTAGTAAGTGGGTTTTTTTTTTTTTATAAAACATCGAATTGCTAGTTCATATATAAAAATACAATAATGAATCTACTTGTGCCATGGTTTCTCTGATTTATTATTACATATCAGTGGTTATTATAGTATTTAGTAAGTGGGGTTTTTTAAGCTTTCACTTAGGTCTATTATTCCTATTGCTTGCTGATTATAATTAATCATATCTTTTCACAAAGGCCTAAAGGCCCCACCTGCTTCATGAAGTTCCGAGGACTCTTTAATCAGGGTGATGCCACATTCTGGAGAGGAATCATGGGTCTCCTCGTGAGCTAGAAAACAAAAATCAAAAGAAAATATTAAATGCAAAACAATTCTTTAATTTTCAGAAAGACACAACACATCCGTTCAAAGAAAAATATTGGGAAAGATGTTGGGGTCTGAGTTAGTCAAAAGGGGTGGTCTTCAATACTTTCCATGAACACAATTTCATGCACGGCAAAAGCCTATCTCAGCATCTTTTACTCAGAATAAAACGTACGGTAATATACCAAACTCGGCTTTCGTAGATTCAATAAAACATCGAATTGCTAGTTCATTTATAAAAATACAATAATGAATCTACTTGTGCCATGGTTTCTCTGATTTATTATTACATATCAGTGGTTATTATAGTATTTAGTAAGTGGGGTTTTTTATGAGAGCCAGAAGTCTGGCACTCTGTGGGTCCGGGGGAAAAGCTCTTGTCTTGGCCAGGGGTGTAAGCCTAAATTCTCCTGGGAACTTCTGTAAAGTGTTGGTAG